GTCAAAGAAAATGGATCAAATTTTTCCCAAGGTCAACAACAACTGATTGCAATGGCCAGAGCACTAGTTCGTGATTCTAAACTAATAATAATGGATGAAGCTACTGCAAGTATAGATTTCAAAACTGATCATCTAATACAGACCACAATTAGAGAAGAGTTTAAGAACAGTACTGTTATCACTATTGCGCATAGATTACGTACTGTCATGGATTTTGATAAAATGCTGGTTATGGGTATGTATTTTTTTTTAAAAAAATTTTTTAATATTTTTGAAATATTAATTATTTAAAAAAAAACATTAGATGATGGAAATGTAGTGGAATTCGATATTCCATACTTATTGATGCAGAAGCCTAATGGGTGGTTTAGAGGAATGTGTGAAAAAAGTGGTGAATTTACAGAATTAATGAAAATTGCTAAGCAGAAATATGAGGAGATATCGTTGTCATCTTAATGTGTTTGTTAATGTAAAGGTCAAAATCCTGTCAAACGCCTGACAGTCAAAAAATCTTGCCAATTTAAAAATCCTGTCAATCAGAATTTTCAGCTAGAAATACCCAATATGATGTATTTTTAAAACAAAATGGATCTTATAATTTAATTAACTTTAGGGTTAGCTCACTTTAGATAAGGGTTAGGCTAGAATTGGCTGTAGTTTATGGCATTTTTTATCAGAATTTTAATTGTTGGGATTTTTAACTGTGTTTTTGTAGCTGTCAGGACCTTTAGCTTTCGGGGGTTTTTTTGTCGGGATTATGACCCAAGCCCCGGCATTACCATATCATAATATCTGGCCTGCATTAACATAATTAGTAGTTGAGCCACCAAAATCGTTCGAAAATAATGTGATATTGTCAATTCATCATGATTAGGATCATGATACGTAATAATATTTATAAAATATTAATTGATTTTGCGATTTATTTTCTTTGATTCTTCAAAATTAAAAGCGATCGTTGCAATCTCGACAAATTAAGTGATTCTATTAAAGGCATAAATTCAATAAATAAAAATAGGGAACAGGTATTTCCACACCCGATTTTGGTATTTCCACACCTTTGATTATGAGCATAATACATAAAGTGTATTA